CGCGTGCCCAGCCTGAAGGACACCTGCCCGCAGGCACAGCTGCCATTCTGAGTGACGCCTCCGTCATCTGCAGCTCTGGGCTGCAGCCCTGAGTCACTACGTTACTGCAGGGCAATGGCTCCAGTCACAGCCTTGGTGTCCGGGGCGGGGGGGGGGGGGGGGGCGCTCAGGCTCCCATCTGAGACTCGGGGAGAGGCTTCTCTGTCAGCACTGGTGGTTTCTCAGAAGTGTCCAATGACACTCCAGAGGTCTGAACCAAATCAGGCCAGTTTAAGAGCAGCCACACGGCTCGCGCGGTCCCACAGGACACCATGGCCTATTTATTTCTGTGTGTCATCATCCCATGGAAATCTGGGCGCTTGCTGATCTGCAAGTGCTGGAGGAGAACATGATCTTTTCCTTGTGAGCCGTGGGCAGGGCCCGACGTGTCCTGAGAGGCCGTTCGGAGCCTGCTTGGCACCTGGGACCTCGCAGTGGCATGTGTGGGCCTGCAGCATCTGGCTCGGCCATCCCGGGGAGAGGGACAGGCTGACCTCCACACCAGGGCGCATACGGGAGTAACCCCAGTGGTGTTCCTGTTTGCCGAGCTGCAAAGGACCCGGCAGCCCTGGAAAGGAGGGGTGAGGGCACGCCCCCCCCAAGAGTGCCCCAGAAGTGGGGGCACACCTCATGAGTGTGGGGCCCTTTAAGAAGTCTCTTCAAAGGCAATATGTGCAGTCCATCTAACATACTAAGATAAAAGAGGAGGGTAGAAAAACAGCCAGCATCATTCGTGTGAAACGCGAAGGAGAAAATGAAACGGTTTTGCCCCAGGCTTATTTGACAATGGAATATTTACATTTTTCTGGGTTTTTAACTTTTTTTTAACATAGATTTTTTGAGAGAGAGAGAGATGAGGACAGAGGATCTGAAGCAGGCTCTGTGTTGACAGCACAGAACCCGACATGGGGCTCAAACCCACGAACCGTGAGATCATGAGCTGAGCTGAAGTGGGACGCTTCACCGACTGGGCCACCCAGGCGCCCCTCCATCTATCTGTTTTTTAAAATGAGGGCTTTAATTCCCTTATCGCTCCAGTTTGATGAGAGCAGGGCCCCAGCCTCACACGTGTATGGGGTCAGGGACCATCTGTGAGGGACAGATGTGAGGCCAGGTGTGGGGATGGGCCCCAGAGAAGAGTCTGTGTCCGTCTACAGTGAGCAGCTACTGCTGTGCTCCACGCTGTTTCTTTCATGATGAAAACTGATGTTGTCATATCTAGCTTTTTGTGTTGTGTGTGTGTGTGTGTGTGTGTGTGTGTTTTGGGGGGGAGCAGAAATCAAGATTTTAACGCACAATCTCCTGTGTTTTAAATGGTGGGCGCTTCCCTAGTCGTTAAGATTTGTTGAGAGCTGGCCATCGTTCTAAAGGCTTTACAGGTACTCACAGGTGTAAGTCTCAAAACCACCTTTGTTCTCAAGATACAACTCTGGCACAGAGAGGTGGCTAAGATGCCCAAGGCCACTGGCTCCGGTCTGCACTCCTAACAGCCTATGCTAGACTTGAGTGGATGTGGTTGATATGCCTTAGCATCTGGGTTACCTGGGAAATGGACCCCGACCTAGCATCTGGGTTGCCTGGGAGATGGACCCTGACCGTCCAATCAAACATGGTAATCCTGTCCTCCTTGCTGGCGATTGGCCTGTGCATTTTAGCGGCAGCCAGTGAGTGCATGGTGCTCCCAGAGCCTCCGTGATTGGTTCGAAACTCTCACTCATGGCAGAGTTTGGGTTGCCTGCCCAACCTCTAGAATTGCGGCAACATACAGACTTCTTTGCGGATTAGGCCAGCTTGAGTTGCTCTGTTTATCGGCAAAAGCGTACTGATTCACCAGCAAACACCCTTCGGGGTATACATCCAAAAGAATTGCAAGTAGGATCTCCATGACATATCTGGACTCTGTGTTCATTGCGGCACTATGCACGGTTGCCAAGAGTCGAAAGCATCCCGATGCCTACCCACAGGTGAATGGATAAATGAGATATGGTTACTCATAGATGGAATATTGTTCGGCCTTAAAAAAAAAAAAAGAGGGGGGGCTTGGGTGGCTCAGTCAGTTAAGTGTCCTACTTCTGACTTTGGCTCAGGTCATGATCTCACGTTGGTGGATTTGGGCCCCACATTGGGCTCTGTGCTGACAGCTCAGAACCTGGAGCCTCCTTCAGATTCTGTGTTCCTCCCTCCTTCTGCACCTTCCATGCTCATGCTCATGCTCTGTCTCTCAATAATAAAAACGATTAAAAAAAAAAGTCCTGTCCCATGCCACAACATGGATGATCCTTGAGGACATTGTGCTACATGAAATCAGAGAGTCACAAAGAGACAAATGCTGTAGCTTTCTGCCTCCCGAGATTCCTAGCTTAGTAAAGGTCACGGAAACATGACGTAGAATGGTGGGCACCAGGGGCTGGGGGAGGGGGCAAAGGGGAGCTGGTGTTGAACGATTATAACATTTTGGGTTGGCACCATGTCAAAGTTCTGCAGATCTGCTTTACAACACTGTAAATGCAGTTGCTGTCACTGCCCTGGGGACTTAAAAATGGTTATGATGTTAATGTTGTTTTTGATTGGAACCAAAAAGAGACAAAGCCTAAAAACTGACTCGGCAGGTTTGGCAAACAATGGAGAGGCAGCCCAGCTTGGCTCGGAGCAGAGTCCCTGGCCTGTCGGCCACACAGCCCGTGACCCCCCAGGTTAGCATGTGGGCCCCATTTCCTCAGAAACCCTCCCCATGGGGAGAAGCCAGTGACCACCTGCATCTGCTGGGATGGACGGGATTGGAGACGTGAGACTTGCGTGAATCACACGGGTCTCAGGAGCAACCTCTAGAAGTTGGTACACGTAAAGCACCTTCACCGAGGTACGATGCACACAGAGTGTAGCGGGACAACAAGAGGGTGTGTTGAGCTTATTATGAACTATCTCCAAAGCCACGGTATTTCTTGTTTTGTTTTGTTTTGTTTTGTTTTGTTTTGTTTTGTTTTTAACGCTGTCATGGCTTTATTCAAAACATTTGCACAAAAGTATTAACTTCAAAGTTTTTTTTTAAGGACAGTTTTGAGGAATTTAATACACTATATACATACCGGCATACAAAGAACATTAAAATAGGACCAAAAACTTCTACAAAATATAAAATCCACCCTTACTTATTTGCTTGAAAATACCACCCACAAAGCTAAGTAAGTCTTAAAAAGTCATTTGGAGGCTCCAAATGTTGTTTCCAAACCAAAGAACTCTAATTTCGATTGCACAGTAAGATGATTGATAAGAAAGTCAATATACAGATTTCATTTTAAAAATAAGTATTTTATAGTCTGGCATATACTATGTGATGAGAATTCTTCGGGACTACAACAGAGCATTTCAAATGTTAAAAAGGAGTAAAATGTTAGCCTTTTGGAGATTCCAATCCCTCTCCCCCCACCTAACCCCCCCATGAAACTTATTCCATGAGTTTATTTCAGTCACTTCTGCACCTTTGTTAGTTTACCCACAAATAACTTCGTAAATTTTACTCTAAAACCCCAAGTTAAACATTTGAAACTAAAAAAGAACCAGTTCTTCACTCAGTAATTTAAATGTGTCCCAGTTACTTCAATTAATTTGCTGATGCTAACTTTAGAAAAACTTCCAGATATCCAAAACAAAGTGGAAAAGCATTTAGATGGCCAAGATTTCGAAAGCAATGGACTTGACCATGGAGCCTCCACAATAAAAACAGGGACGTACTTGTCTATCGTTATTATATTTAGTAGCCATATGTAGAAACATGTGGTTCGTCCCGAAATATTTTTCGATTTTTAATCAACATCCACTTGAAACCAAATCTTAAGTTTTAATATTGATTTAGTTTCAAATATTTTCCAACTGCCCAGTATATTCCAATTAAAAGCTCTATCTGGTAATTCCTTAAAGCTATAGGAAGAAGAATTAAAGGTTCTACTCAGAAAAGTTAGAAATACTTTGCAGTGTGGTATCTAAATCATTTGGGAAGCGAACTTGAAAATTTGACTTGAACGTCTCGTTCATTATCAACAGGCAATTGTTCTGACTTTTGAGGAATATTACTGCTGCTTCTGAAAGCCTCCTCTGCTTTTTTTTCCTTCATCCTAATGATACGATCTGTACATCTTGTCAATGAAAAATGACTTACAGTAAACAGGACCTGTTGCATAAAAGTGTACTGGTAATAATACTCGTATCTCAGAAAGTACTCAGTTTCTTTCACTTCGCTTGTTTGAAACAGAAGTCTGAAAAGGTGGCTGAGGTATAAAAGACTAAACGCTTTCCTGGGTATCACAGAAGGCTCCCAACTTTTTTTTTTCTTTTTTTTGAGACAGAGGGAGAGGAGTGAAACAAGAAATGAAAGTGATCATAAAGGAATTTCTGAGAGGAAAAGAAAGAATGCATTTAAAAACAAACCAAAATAACCAACCCCTCTGCATGTTGTGATCTTCAGCTTGAAAAAAAAAGGGGGCTTGCCTGCAAGTCTCTGAGCTTTGTGCAAGCAATTTTCCTTCAAAAACACAATCTTTAGTTAGTCACCTGACTTGAAAAGGTTTCAGAAGCCTCCACAAAAGCCATTAACTATACTGTTGAGTAGAACCTTTACTATTCTGTTCCTACTTTCCAAGCTACTCAAGTCACAAAAAAAGTATACAAAAAAAAAAAAAAAAAAAAGAAGTCATTGCCTTCAAACTAAAGGTCTCTGGGTCACCTCTAAAAAAATAACCAACTTCTCATTCAAGAGACTTCATTTCATATTCCAGCTGACCATGATTTCGGTTAACTATAAATAACTTTAAAACCTTATGAATGAAATGCACCAAACTACGCCTGTGTAAAAGTGATCGTGTTTTAATTAGGAGCTAAAAGTAACTAATACAGTGAGCGTGAAAGAGAAAAATGAAGATTCTAAATCAATTGCTAAGGAATTTCACAATGGGCTCAATTTTTTCTCTACATACAGTATGATCATTAACAGACTAGTAAATCTTATTTGGAATGATAAGGCAAAAATAGTAAAACCACGCTTTTCCTATAAAAAGTTACGGGTTATTTTCTGGAGGGTTCACTATGGTACATGAAGAAACAAAAAAGATGTGATCACTCTATTGCACAGCCAGGACCTCTAGGGAATCTGGTCTTAGAATGATCTAGTCGTCGTCTTCGTCTCCATCATCTTCCGCATCCCGTTTCCCTTTTTCCCCTGGAGGTCCCTCTTCTTCATCCTCTTCCTCTTCTTCCCCTTCTTCAACATAGTCATCATCATCTTCTTCATCCTGGATTTCTTCTTTCATCAAGTAGGAGAGGCCCATTCCTCTTCCTCTCCCAGTTCTGAGCCTGCTTCGTCTTCCTCCTCCTCCTCCTCCTCCTCCTCCTCATAGCCTTCAGGTGGACCAGCTTCATGTTCCTCTTCATCTTCATCATCTTCATCTCCGTCCTCATCATCATCCTCTTCTGAGTCCGGGGCCTCATTATCTTCCTGATCAAGTCTGTCTAAGTAGGTGACTTGCTGCAGCAGCTCAAAAATACTTTCTCCGTAATCCTCCAGGTTCGCGATCTCACCGTTAAACAAGTCAAGGCTTTTCAAATTCTTAAGATTTTGCAGAGCTTCTACTGTACTGAGATCTTTGATTTTGTTTCCACTCTGATTGAGGTAGGTAAGATTTGGACATTTCTCGGCCAGGACTTCCAAGCCTCCCGAAATTATATTGTCACTAAGTTCCAACTCTCGAAGTTTAGTTAAGCTGGGCCGCCGGGCCAGTGAACTTAGCTCCACGTTAGCCACACTCAGAAACTCTAGTTTTGTAAAAGTATCATTCAGGCCCTCGATTTCCCCATTGACACATAGGCAATTATCAAGGATGAATTCTGTCACCCCCTCCGGGGCTCTGTTCCTTAACTCCAGGTTAATCCTCTTCTTCATCTCCATGTCTTCCTCTTGCTCTTCTGCTACTCCTCCCTTCCCTTACCCTTTCCTGCCTTTCCCACTACCCCCAACCCTTAACTTGTAAAAGATGTGGAAATGAATGAAAAGAAAAGCAAATATAAATGCCCACCACCACCAGATAGGTGTGGGGGAGAAAGAAGAGAAGAGCAAATGGAGTCCAAGGAGTTGGGACTCTAACTCGACTGTCCCCACCTCCTTGTCTACACACTCGTGCGCACTCACATGCACTCACACACACACACACACACGCGCGCACACACACATACACACACACACACACACCCGCAGTTCCTTCCCCTTCAATGGCTGCTGCGAGACTGAGCCCCAAAGCCCCGTATTTCTGAGGCGGCTAAGAGACCCGACAGGTTTGGGGTGTGTGTGTGTGTGTGTGTGTGTGTGTGTGTGTGTGTGCACGCATGTGTACGCACATTCCCAGATGCCTGGAAGATCCAGGTGAAAGCTGACAGAGGTGTGTGGGGACCGGGGACGAGGACAAGGATCAGGGACATTTAGTTTGGGGACTGTGAAGGAAAGCAGAGCTCTGCTCTTGGGCGGCAGGAACATTTCCGAAGGACTCTTGGCTCGGCCCGCCTTCCATGGTGCTATTTGGAAGTGAGGACAGGGGTGTGATGGAGCCACAGATGATACTCGGTGAGCTGCGTGGCAAGGATGCAGTTTGAGGTCGCGGCAGAGACAGGACACGCATGCAGTGGTGGCCCGTCCGTGGCACCAGGTAGCATGGGCCATGGCCTGTGATGGGCAAAATGGGCCCCTCGGGAGACAGAGGCGGCGAGGCCGGGCATGCGTGCTACCCCATGCTCCTGCTGTGGGCACAGCTCAGACTGCGCAGCCTGTGTGTCCCCCCAGGCCAACTGCCCCCCGTTCTGGGCTGAGCAGTGTTCCCTCTAAGTCTGGATATATCCAACTCCAGCACCTCAGAACGTGTCTGTATCTGGATGAGGTCTTTACAGAAGTAATTAAGTTAAAATGAGGCCCCTATGGTGGGTCTTGGCCCTCATGACCGGTGTCCCTGTAAGAAGGGGACACCAAGGTGTGCACCTGCATGGGAATCCGTGTGAGGACATAGTAAGGAGTATGGCGAGCCAAGGGGAGGGGTCCCAGGAAACCAGCAGTGTGGGGCACCTTGACCTCGGACTCCCAGCCTCGAGAGCGGCAAGGCTAGGGTGTCTACTGTTTGGGTGGTCCAGGCTGTGGGGTCACAGCGGCCCGAGCAGGCTCAGACACCTGGGCACGTGCTGCTGTGACGAAAACACTGAAGCAGCAGGCAGCCTAGTACAATCTGTGAGCCTGAGAGATGCTACCACAAGGTGACTGTCCGGATGGTGTTTGGGGTCCTCCAACCTCCTTCTGTGCTGGGCCCCCCTTCATGGTGCTTTTGTGTGGCCCATCCTTTCTCTCAGCTGAGGGTTTCCCCGACGGCTCTGCTCATAGCTGTTGGCTCTGGGGTGGGCTTCCAGCGAGAGAGACCAACACCCCCACCCCTCCCCCAGTGCAAACAGCAGGTCCTGATGCCTGTCCTCTACGGACACACAGACCAGGCTGCAGGGTTCAAGTCCTGCCTGATGTCAACTTGCTCTTGCGCCCGGCCTCCGACACATTTCCTATCACGTCTGTGCCTGGGTTTTCTCCTTTGTAAAATGAGAATGTTACCAATAGCAGTGAACTCGTCAAGGAGGGGGCAGCAGGAGAGGGTTAACCCGCAGACATGCAGAGGGCAGTTTTATCCCCTCCGGGGAGGGAACCAGCAAGGACTGAGTCCCCTCCACAGGCACACCCTGCAAACTCCTGCGCCGTCGGCCCTCGCGAGGGCTGTTTCCACTGCAGCTGGTGCTTTCCGGCCACCAGGCAGCCAGGTGGGTGTAGGTGCAGGTGCTGAGGGGAGGCGAGCAATGGGGCTGGAGTGCACTGCGGGTTGTGTGGGACTGCTGCCTGTGCAAGTGCCCATCGTCACCACGAAGGGATCGTGTTCTCCTTAATTCTGTGGTAAGGTAGGCGCTGCAGGGAGGGCGGAGCGGTCAGGTTCATGATCCTTGTACACGTGTGCAGCTGAGCCTGCAGCATGGCCATTATTACCGCGTGCCATTCTGACCTGTCCACATGTATCGGAAGACTGGGTGGACGGATGACGGGTTGATGGGCAGATGGACAGATGTAGAGGAGCAGATTGAAATATGGAGATAATTACAAATACGCACACCGCCATATCCTTGTTCCCTTTAGGTCCCGTCACCCCATCAGCAAGAGGAAATGAGACTCTGGATCTGAGCCCAGGCTCTCCTGACCCGTGTGATGGCGGGAAAGGGCCTACGCTATTCTGGTCTCACTTTCCCTACTTTGTGCACAGAGGGGGCTCAACCCTATGAACTGGTCATCGAAGCCTGCTCTGTTCGTGCATGTGTCCGGCTGCAGCATAATATTGGAATAAACTTGATGCCCTGACGTTTGTCATTTGAACCTTTGTTCACACTGATGACTGTCCTACGATGGGATAATCAGTGCTCCCCCTGGTGGTTGAAACAAGCAGGGACAGGCACTCCTTGCTCTGGAAGTTGGATGGTGGCAATAAACTGGCCCCTAGGGTGCTTGCTAACCTAGGGAACTGGGGCGGGGTCAGCAGGTGGCTGACCCCTGCAGTGCAGCTCCTTGCCTCTCCCGAGATGGGCAGGTGGGCTCCTCTGGGCTAAATTCACCCAGTGTCTGGCTTCATTCACACACTCATACTTCTTTAGCAGGAGAAAATTATGCAGTTGAGAACAATCTTTTCGCTTCCTCTTGAAACTCTGGATAGAGGAGGAAGAGTTCAAGGGCTTGTGTGTGCACAAGCATGTGTGTGTGGACATGTCCCCTATAATGCATGCAAACCACTGCTTTGACCAAGAATGTTGTGACTAGTTCCTTCTGGTCAGATTTCAAGGCAACCAACTCTATCACAGACGTCATCGATTCGAACACTTGATGTTCTACATTTGAACAATTCCTTGGTCAATTATAGAGCTTTACTTCTCAATTTACAATTTTAACTTTTAAAAATTATACTTTGCTACGGGGTGTCCGGGTGGCTCAGTCAGTTAAGCATCTGACTTCGGCTCAGGTCATGATCTTGTGGTTCAAGAATTTGAGCCCCGTGTTGGGCTCTGTGCTGACAGCTCAGAGCCTGGAGCCTGCTTCAGATTCTGTGTCTCCCTCTCTCTCTGACCCTCCCCATTCATGCTCTGTCTCTCAAAAATAAATAAACATTAAAAAAAATGTTTTTAATTATACTTTGCTAGCTTTTCCCACTGGAGTTGCAGAATGGTCCTAAGGTTATCTGTGCAGTTGAGTGTATAACTTTTCATTTGTGTGTGTACACACATGTACAGATTGAAAACACAAAGGGACACGGGGATGCTGGCTGCTTGCTGTCTTGATCGGGCCAATGGCTTCACAGGTGTATACAGGTTTTCGTGTGTGTATGTGCCAATTATATGTCAGTGAAACCATTAACAAAGAAGACACAAAAACTATTAAATCCCATCAACTTTCTCTCTCTACTTCGACTTGCAGTATTCAATGCAGACTTATTCCAGCACTAGAGACTGAAAGTCTCAATCTAAAACTGTTCTCTTAGGGGAACCTGGGTGGCTCAGTCGGTTAAGCGTCCAACTTCGGCTCAGGTCATGATCTCAAAGTTCATGGGTTCAAGCCCCGTGTCGGGCTCTGTGCTAACAGCTAGCTAAGAGCCTGGAGCCTGCTTCCGATTCTGTGTCTCCTCCTCTCTCTCTGACCCTCCCCTGCTCACGTTGCCTCTTTCTCTCTCAGAAATAAATAAAACATTAAAAAAAATTAAAACTGTACTCTTATATTCACTGAACCTAACTCAGTCTTCACACATGACCTATGTGTCACAGCAATGAGAGGGACAGGAAAGGGGCTGGCACACACTCAGAAGGCAAGTGCTGCCTTCTAGCACCTTCCCCCTGCTGGTTTTGTCAACACTTTGCCTGCAGGGCAGACCTGGGGCTTGGCCTACTTGAGAGAAGAGGGGCCAAGAAACTTGATCCAGAGAGGTTGTAAATCCAACACCACAGGGATTAGACAGAAGTGTCAATGAGAAAAATGGGCCAGAGGCACAAATGCTCTTTACTCCCACCAAGAATTACATTTTCTCTCACTGTTCTGGAAACGGCGGCTCTACAAGGTTTGCCATTCACCTCTCCACTTCTGCCTATGTAGAGTCAGGAGACTGGAGTTGTGGGGCAAATGGCTTCATAGTGGCAACGCTGCTCAGCCCAGGGGACATGTCTGGAGGCCAGATATGGTGACCTGCCATCCATTTTCTCCTTTTAGTTTGAAACTTGTGCTAATCAGGAAGTCCTTATATTCCTCATTTACCACTTCTTATTCAAAAGGAAGACCTTTTCTCATCAATACTAGTTCCTCACGAGCCAAAGAAGAGAGGATGCTGCACCCTAGTTACTGTGTTCTGACTCAGATAATACGTTTGGCTGTTCACCCCTCCCACCCACCCCCATTTTACTCCCTAAAGACTGGAGGGCAGATTTATCGCCCTGGAAGAAATGTAGCCAGTCTAAATAATCTGAGTACCTTTCATCTCTTTCTATTTTCTTCTTTGCCGAAGGAGATGGGAAGATACAGCCTTCTGACATTTACACAGCTTCAACCTTCGTAATAAAAATGTATTATATTCTTAAGAAAGAGGAGGGTTATAGAAAGCCTCGGAGGGCAAGATAAACACAGAATGTGATGATAAATTTAATCGCACAGTTTCCAGCGAAGAGATTTTTTGGTAGAAGGGTTACCAGTCCTATGTTTCTATGGGTGACAAATGAGCGTGGGCACAACAAAATAAACCACAAATACACCGCGGAGAACTCCAAGACTCATTTCCTTTAAGACTTAGAGCTTCGTCTTCACTGCAGCGTTTGAAGTTTGCTTATTGTTGTTTCACCATGGTGACCAGTAAGAGCCAGAACTATTTTGAGTTTTTCTCCTGATCCACATTCCTCG